TATCTCATCTCATTCAAAAGTTATGACCAAGGTTTTAAGTTTTTGTGACAGATGAGCAGACCAACAGACTTACAGATGACATATGATAAGATTCAATTATTAATTATCATGAAATCTTGCATTTGATAAAAAGGATGACAAAAATCAATAGAACCATACACTAAAAGGGATTGACTGACCTTGACATGATGTTGCATATACCCGGTAGATGCTTTTTATAAAAATTTAGGTCTTCTTTTAAATAATTAACAATAATTTATATTTAGGAAGTTTAAGTAGCTGACATAATAAAAAATATATCAAGTTTGACATACATTTAGATCTATTTCAATGCAAAAGCAATATCGATCAATATCGCCTGACTGCATTATGCAGAATGAAAATTCAGTTCTCTAAAGGTCATACGCAACATACCGGTAGTTTGAACTTTATTAGGATCTTCCCTGGAGTTTCAGAGTTTCACTTAATGAAGGACCTGGGTACAATACTTTAAATGTCTTTATATGGATTTGTACACCTCTTCTAAAACTATGTTTGATGAAAAAGAAATCTGGAAATTATGTTCTGTAATTATAACCCCGGATCGAAAGATCGGGGGTATATTGTTTTTGTCCTGCCTGCCTGTCTGTCTGTCTGTCTGTTTGTCCCCCAACTTTAACCTAGCCCATAACTATTGAGTGGTAGGGGCTATGGCTTTCATAATTCATAGGTGTGTTACTTGTGACATAACCTTTCTTTGGGTACCACCAAATTTGACCTCTTGACCTTGGAGTTTGACCTACTTTTATTAGTCCCCTACCGGTGAAACCGGGGGGACTATAGGTTTCCTCTGCGTCCGTCCGTCTGTCTAGCTGTCTGTCCCCGTCAGTCTGTCCCACTTGGTTTTCCACACTTTTTTTCTAAACGCTTGCAGATATTGAGCTGAATTTTGGTATATGAGTGTATCTTAATGAGTTACAGATCAAGTTTGAATTTTGCTTTGCTTCATTGATTTTTGACAGAATTAGGGCATTTTGAATATTTTTTCATAATCGCTTAATTGAGATCGGGTTCGAACTGCGCTAACTTCCGATTGTCGACATAAATATGAAGCGAGGAAAGGACGGTGGAGAAATGAGTTGAATTTTCGTCTTAATGTGGATTATTTTATTAGTTTTAAGGTATTTACAACTTGAAAATCTTTCAGTTTTACCATGGACATGACTTTTGCATATGATAAAATGACATCCAGAAGAAAAAGGGGAACCCGGTAGGGGACATGTATTGCTTATATGCAATACTCTCAGAATGCTTGTTCTATTTGTTATCGACTTTAACTTTCGCCATAACTTTTGAACAGATCAAGATAGAGACTTCATATATAAAATGCATAGACTCCACTAATTAAGCACTTTCAACTGACACCAAGGACAATGACCTTTTGACCCTGACTGTGACCTATATGCTAAAATTAGATTTTTCGAACTTTCGGTATAACTTTTAAACAATAGGAGATAGTGACTTGATATTTGGTATGCCTACTTCACTAGTTAAGTGCTTTCAAACGACACCGAGGTCAATGACCTTGTGACCTTGACTGTAACCTTTATGCTAAGAATAGCTTTTTTAAACTTTGTTGCTGTGGGGGCACAGTGTTTCACAAACACATCTTGTTTTTGTATATTTCTTTGAATAATGCAAACATTTTCACAATTTGATATTTTTTCAAAACCCCTAGTAACACTAAATTAGAAACATAAAGAATTATTGTTCACTTCCAACATATAAATTCTAACATTAATTATAGTGAACATAATGTATGTAAAAACTTAATTGATTTGTTATCCAATTTAGTTTTAATAGTCAAGCTGATGGATGTGATCATGGTGATAAGGATACATTTCAAAAACTAACTAGTGGTAAATAAAGCACCGTAGTATTAAGCTTTGAATGCATTGATAAAGATGTCTTATTTCATCATGTTCATTACATGTACCTGGGTTTTTTTTTTTTGCCGGTAGGTGGTTATTTCAGTTAGGTTAATAAAGAGAAACATATGAGATGTAATTAAATTTCATTCTTATATTTTCATAAAGATGATGAAGATACCCAACATAATGATTAAAAGATAAAGAGAATAAATCAGATTGGTGATCAATATCCAAAAGACAGGATGGTGGATCTAAAGGGAATGGGTTCCAATATTTTCCTTTGTTTATTGCATGGTTTTGAATTTCACATTTATCCCAGACAAATCAAAATGAGTTATTTGTAGGTTGATCTAATTAAGAGGCTTTATCTTTTTGATTATGGGTAATTGATTTCAAACAGTTTGCTTATAAGTCATGTGATATCATGGTCCAAAGTTATGAGTGGTGGATCCAAGGGGAGTTGATATTGAATTTTTAATTACTTATCATGCTTATTGTAGATCATCATGGCATATACTAATAATTATTGCACATTTATTTAAACATTTAAGTAACCTTTCTTTGTGTGATAAGTGATGGATCAAAGGCATGTATATTTCACCAGTAATTGTTTTGATAGTTGAGGTGGATCCAAGGGGGTGGATAGATATATTTTTAAATATTAAATTTTGTAATGTGTCAAAGGAATCAATAATGATCATGTGATGTTTATGGTTAATTGATTTTAAACATTTAACTTATATATCATGTGTGATCAAAATCTAAACTTATAAGTGGTGGATCCAAGGGGGTGGATATTAATCTTTTTTAAATATTTGTGGTGGGTGCAGGATCAAAGAATATTAATGATCAATGATTGTGGTTAATTTATATCAGACATTTAGTTTATATGTCATGTTTGATCTTGATCTTAATTTTAAAGTGATGGGTCCAAGGGGGAGTGGATATTTATGTTATATAGTAGTTGTGGTTGATCCAAGGGGAGTGGATATTAATTTTAAATACATGTATTTGTGATGGGTAAAAGGATATTAATGATTATAGGCTTATAGCTAATTGATTTCAAACATTAAGATAATATGTCATGTATGATCAAGATCTAAACTTATAAGTGGTGGATCCATGGGGAGTGGATATTAATTTTATTTTTTTTTTAAATATTTTTTGTGGATCAAAGGATATAAATGATTATGGCTAACTGATTTCAACATTAAGCTTATATGCCATGTGTGATCATGGTCTTAACTTACATTAGTGGTGGATCCTTGAGGAGTAAATTTTTTATTTTAAAATATTTGTGGTGGATTTTTTTATTATAGTTTTTTAAAAAGAAGAATTGCTGTCCATCCAAGTGTTTACAGAAGATTCCCACTAATGCAGTTTTTTCCATCAGGAAGCAGTTTTGGAAACTGGTCATTACTCAGCAGAATCAGGAGATTTCAGTATTGTATGCAAACAAAGATAAGACAGTGTCACTAGCACAAATTTAAGTCCCCTTTCGGTTGATTGTACTTTTTCTTAACAAATAAAAATCAGTATCTCAGACACTCCTCTTCTCTTGGCAAGTCATTTGGTTGAGTTTTCTCTGGCAATAGTATTTGTTTATGACCCTCACTTTAATTAAAATAGCTCTACAAAAGCAGTTTAACAATGGATATATAACAGTCAATTTTGCATTGTTATGCCTCTAGATCTGCCACATAAAAAATAATTTGAATTTGTATATAATTGAAGATAAAATGCTTCATAAAGTATATTCAGACATTGCATTCTTATCCCATTATTCCCATATCTGCTTATTTATTTATCCCATGGGATTAAAAATACCCAGTATTATGTACTTTGCAGGATTTTTAATCCTAAGAAGGGCAAATATGGGATTTTTAATCCTATGTCGCCTATTATGGGAGAAAAAATCCCATGGGAGAAAAAATCCCTCAAAGATTTTTTTCTCCCATGGGATTTTGGTGGGATTTTTGGTGGGATGAAAAATCCCGCCATTCTCCCATGGGATTTCATGTTTTGACAGAGGTTTATGAGAAAACTACTACAATGTGGAAGTTGATATTGACATGATGAGGTCAGAATAAAAAATCCCACCAAAATATAGAAAAAAATCTAATGTAGGTCTTTTCGAAAGGGTACCTAAAAGTCCGGACTTTGTCGTGTCCGGACTTAAATGTCGCAGTGTTACTTTTGTTTTCTCAAACGATCAATACCCATGGGGTCATGATTTGAAGAAAAAAAAAACCCATGAATCTACACTATCTGAGGTTAGTTCCATAAAAATATGATCAAAGATGACTGTTGTTCGAAGTTTTTTCAAGATTTTCCCAACATATTCCTGTTTCACTTTCAGTGGTTTTAATCTATCCCCAGTGGTCATGATTCGAAAAAAACTAAAATCTACACAATCTGAGGATGCTACCATATAAATATGACCGATCAAGGCTTTAAATTTGTTGCTGCCGACTAGGGGATTTTTCCCTCTTTGCTTGTCCATTGTAGCCCGTCGTACCCCCTGAGATCATGATTTGAAGAAACTTACATTTAAACTACATCTTTCCTGATTTAGCGGTTCTTTAAAAAAATATTTCTAAAACATGCCACCAAATTTTTATGATTTCTTTATTATCTCCCCTTACAAAATGGCAATGCATTTCACTTCACCCATTACCCATGTATGCTTTGAGGCACGTTTGATTGAAATTCGCCTAGTGGTTCCAGAGAAGAAGCCGAAAATGTGACAAGTTAACAGACAGACGTCGCCGGACAAAATGTGATCAGAAAAACTCATTTGAGCTTTCGGCTCAAATAAGCTAAAAAAATTTATAAAATAATAAAAAATTAATAAAACAATCTCCAGAACGAACAACACATTAGTGCACATGTTAACATAATTTAATGTTTACTTGCATATCATTTACCTTGAGATAAACTACTATTTAGGACTGAAGGAATAAAAGAATAACCTTTGTGATTCATAATACTAGCAATATCATACATTAACATTAATTTATCCCTGGAATTTAGTCCCTTATACAGGAGCATTTAATAGGTAACCATGAGAGGTGTAAGTAAAAGAATTACCAAGAATGAATATGTCGACCATTGAATTGTATTGCAATGCTCCACCATACTGTGCAGCCTGCATCCCATAGGAACCACCATATGTAAGAACAACATAGAAATTTTTGGCGTCAGCACGGTCTCCATTGGCTGTGGTGAAGAAGTTGAACATTGTGTATAAGAGGGCTTTTTCCACACGACGGCGAGTTCTATTATAGGCAGTGTTCCCTTGGACCAGATTGCTAATCCCAGATTTTAATCCAGCCGAAGTGGTGTACTGATTGAGTGGAAAAACGATGTCTCCATCGTCAGCATAGGTTACGACCCCAAGTCTTATTGCATCATCACCAATAACCATTTTGGAGACAAGACTCAGTAGAAAAGTTTTCATTTCCTGGAACTTTTCTGGGCTGATAGTGTCTGTGTCATCAACAATAAAAACGATGTCGATTTTACAGTCTGAAAAAAGAAAACAAAACAGGGTAATTAAGACAAAAAAATCATAGTAGGTCTAACTTTACCTTAGAATAGAATTGTACATGTGCATATCTCAATTCAAAAGATTACATATTATGAAATTACGAGAAAAATATTGCGTCTTGGCGGACAACAACGTGTTATAAGCAGTCTGATTCAGATCCAGAAATGTCTTAGGTATAGTTACCATTTTTAATATTAAAAGTATTTGTTAAGTGCAGAAAATGTCTAAATTTGATTGATATTGTCAATCAAAGTTTTTGTCACTGTTAATCAAAGGTTAACACATTTTCTTTTATACATGTTTTATAACCAAAAACTTCAAATACTTTCATTTTATTTATTCTTTGTTTAATTTGTATTTTTTGAGGATTCATCCTGAATTACTTGTGTATAAATGTATTTCAAAAATATGGTCTTTTTATTGCACTTTTTCACTTTAAAAACTGCACACCACTTCAAAACAAAAAATCTAGCGTTCAAGTTTATTGTAAGTGTAGGTCTCAAAATAAGGTTTCGGTCTGTCAAGGTATGACAGTCATTTAAAATCCTAAGGTGAGTTATCAAAGTGGCTCAATAAATGAAAGTTCAAGTATATTTGAAATATTTGAGAAAGGGTTTGTAACAGCCAAATGTACTCCTCGAAAAAAAAAATCAAATGTAGCAACTTTTTTGTACATGTGAATTTAACAAATTTAATAAATACTTTTGGAGTAGAGAAAATACTACATATTCAGCAATACGCAAAACTTAAGTAACATTTGGTTTAGGAATGTATAAATCAAACCAAATGAATACCTTGTGTTATATCTTTGATTTCTTCACATGAAGTGATATTCGCCACAATTTGCTGTCTAATGGTGAGTAGATCGTCATATTCATCAACGTCGGTGTACCGTGTATAGTTTCCACATGAGTCAACGCACTCTTGATATTCAGTTTGGTAGGC